GGTCACAAATGACAATCACGTGACCACAGGACACTGCAACATCATAATCGCAAGCCAGAGCTGAGCACCCAGATCGCAATCATATGACCATGGGGACATTGCAACCAACGCTGTCATAAGTTTGAATGGTTGCTGAACAAGTGGTCATTAAATGAGAACCCCCTGTATATGTCATGCTGGAACTGGACAACAGTAGATTATGCAAACTACCTATTGATCTTCTCTGTTTCATTTCTACATCTGCCACCAACTTTGGGGCACTGCCCTCTAAAATAGGCACTGGATTCAGTGCTAATGACTGCAAAGTATCAGGTACACAGAAACTGATCTTTCTGCACCCTTTAAGACTGAACCACTCTAGGGTGTACTATAGTAATGCTGCCCTCCCCCAGTGCCTTGGTATCTATTTTATTGCCAGTTCACTGAACCAGAAACCATAGTCTTGATTTGGTTTCCCAGACATTCAGTACTCAGGGCACTCTATTTTTCTCCACATTAAAACTGGAGGAATTGTTCTTCAATATTCTTCTTCCCATCTAGATCTTGGAACAACTGGCAGGTACCCTCCTTTCCCAGTTAAATTTGGCCCATAGAGATTCTCTTCCTTTTGCTGATTCAGAAGATTACTTTCAGAACTCTACTATTATTTAGAAAAGGCCTTCTAAAAATAATTAGATTGGAAAGCCAAAGGACATGCAATAAATGAACAAACCAGAACAAGCTGTTTCTCCAAATGAGGAGTCCTGAGCTCCCCTTTTCCACTAACCTTCCAGGGGTTTAATGATTTGAAGCTTATCAGGGAAGCAAGAGTAGGAGCCCAAGGAGGTGCCAGAACCCCCAGAGCTGCCTGAATAGTTGGTCCCTGTAGATGTGATGCTCTCGTTGGGGGTCAGAAACCCACTCGAGTCCTCCGCCTCCCGAGCCAGGCGCCTCAGTTTGCATTCACGCTCCATCTCAAAAAATGAATGCTCGGTGCTGTGGTTCTTCTGGCGAGCAGACAAACACTGGAGAGCAGCTTCCAAGACATGGTGGCCAGGTGTACCTGATGTAGCAGCCACGCCCTGGCTAAAATAAAACAAACCGTGAAGCTGATCTGATTCTCAAAGCACCATCAGAGGGGAGAATCTTGGCTCTCCAGAAGTTGCTGAGCTACAGCTCCAACCTACATAGTAACAATGGGGGCTTCTGGAAACTGTAGTTCAACAACCTTTGGAGAAGCACAGACTGATCATGATCAATTGATTGAGAGACAGGCAGACATAAAGAACAGGCTTTTCCCAGAGACAGATCCCTGTCCCAAGGAACTTATTACTAAAACTGGATGGGGAGGCAGGACAATAAGAGATTAGAAAGAACCAACAGAGGAACCTTGCCTTGGTTTCACTAAGAACAAGGACAGGCCTTTGAGCAACTGCACTCTAGTAAGACTTGGACCAAGACATTCTCCAGTGGAGGCAAAAGATACACGGATGGAAAATGAGTTCGCTGGGAATGACAGGAGATCTTGTTGGGTACATCAGCAGTTCCATGTTGGTTTTGCAAATCAAAGTTAGGAAAAACAGTGCAAAAGGAATCTAGCAGAAAACTTGTCAGGGTAGACATAGCAGTTAAAGAAAAAGGGTGGTGATAGTTACTCCTCTTGTGACCCTTACAGAAACATCTACACACAATGGGATGTGGGGAGGGAATGAAGAGACCATAGCCTTGTATTTCTTTAGCTGCCCATTTTTCGTGGCTTTCTCTACTTAGAACCCACAGCCCCCAATTGCTTCCAAGTGTGAGGTCTGGAGACAGGAACGTGTTATCTGACTGTTTTTTCTTCACCAAAGGCCCAGCAGGACAAAATATTGATGAATCATTTGATGCTCCTTAAGGCAGCCCCAAAATAATTCTGTTTTTCTTTCAGTGGGTCCACCTCAGACTATAGGTGGTCTGGAAAGCTTGAGATCCATCAAGACAAACAATCTTCCCTGCAATGTGTGGGGCCTAACAACTGCTTGAACAGACTCACACCCCACCAATTACCATGGGCAAGGAATGACGATGGAAAAAATTGTTAAACTCCTGGGAAATGGGCATAATCCATGGGTGGTGAGCCAGAAATTATGCAGATTTGGTCTTTAAGCTCTAACCCAGCCTTCCTAAGAGCATGCTCTGGATATTTTGGGATGATAATCTTCAGAACTATAGTTTGGGAACTGTAGTCCCAACTCATCTGAAGATTTCCAGATGAAGGAAGGCTGGGCTAACCCAACCATGAGGTTATCTCCTACAGGATTTGCAAGGCTGTTTTTCCCACAGAGGAGTCCAGGTCCTAGCGATACTCACTGGGCACCATCCAGACGTTCAGGAGCCAGGTCACTCTTTTCTTCCAGCATAATGGGGCTATCTGAACCATAGCGGCTGTTGCGTGGGGTGCTAAAGTGACTGCAGATCACTGAAGATACTTTGGGAGAACCCGGGGGAAGACTCAGTGGTGACGCCATTCCTGATTTGGCCTTTGTTGCTTGTTTCACAGCCTTCACTGTCTCAAACACCCGCCGGAAGCCCCTAAAAACAAGCAAAACAGATGTAAATATTGTGATCAGTGGTAGAAATCAAAGAGAAGGTTGGTCACTCTCTTTGTCAAAAGACTCAAGAATAACACCCTTGAAATGCTGATAGTCTCTAATTGTTTCCCAGTGCTGTTTTAATAAAATCACACCCTTCACTGCCTATAGGCCCAAGAAACATTCTAAGCCCCAACTACCTGGAGCCTACATTCCCCAAGTTTGGTGCCTCCTCCAGCTCCTCCTTCACAATGTCACCTCTGATGGTGAGCCTCCTTTACATCTTGCTTCATCATCATGGTGCATCCCTAGGGCTCAGAGCCATTTTTTAAAATCCAGGCCTCTTGCTACCCTGTGAATGTTACCTTGTACTCCACTCACTTGTATTCAGATGACCCACAGCTGTCCATCCCTTTTCTCATTGTGCCCTTGATCTCTGCAGCCAAGGAATCCTGTAACAAAAAAGTAACCATGGGCAGACTTTTCTTCTGGTAGCAAAAAGTAGTAGACTCAGGAAGTTCCTAAAGGTTCCCTTCTTCTGTTCCTGTTGAGCTCCCTCAAGTGAGAATAGAGAGCAGACCAATGATGTTCTCCTAAACGCTCACCAGAGAGACACATCAACACAAGCCATAATACGTTTGCTTGTTTAAATTTAGCATGCGTTAATCCAGTTCTGCAAACCATAGTTTATGGCATAGCATTCTGTGTCCCCAATCAACCACCATTTATTCATTAAACCACAATTGAAGAAATCATGACTCAGTGTGATGTGGAAACTGAGTCACCGACTGCTCTCCTGGTCATTACTCAGAAATGCTATTTCTCTAACACCTGCATCCAAAGACCAAAGCTCATTGTAAAGCAAGTTCCAGGGATTCAGTCTTGGACAAAATTAAACTCTAATCACATTCTTAGATGTGCTTTTCCCCCCATGTTCCCTCCTCTGTAAAGACTAGAGGTTACCCTTCCCTAAAAGATATATTGAGCAGGTCTGGTTTGGTTTTTTGTGCCTTCAAGTCAGTGTTGACTCCTGGCAACCACCTGGACAAGGCCTTGCAGTCTTCTTGGCAAGATTTCAGAAGTGGTCTGCCATTGCCTCCTTCCTAGGGCTGAGAGGGTGTGACCGGTCCAAGATTACCCAGCTGGCTTTGTGCCCAAGGCCAGAGTAGAACTCATGGTCTCCTGGTTTCTAGTCTGGTGCTTTAACCCCTACCCCAAACTGGCTCTCCATTATATTGAGCAGTGGGACAGAGAAAATAAAACTCCTTGTCGCCATCATCTGTTGCTTCTATTGCTCCATAGTTCCTCCACTCCAGAATGGTTTCTCCCATCCTACCTACCTACCTACCTATTCCAGTGTTGTCCAAACTTGGCCACTTTAAGATGAGTGGACTTCAACTCCACACATACCCCCCCCACCCCATCTTTCCCGGGGGGTTCCGGGGTTGGGGTCCCCCCCCCTCTTACAGGGCCAAGCTTTTGAACACCGACAATATTA